TGTATTATCAAGTATTATTATAAATTCTGAGGAATGCTACTAGGCTTTGGTATTTTAGAGTCAAGGTAAAAAAACCTTTATATTGAACTGGTTCAAATTCAATATTTTTTCCAATGGCAGAAGAGATCAAGACATCCTCAAAGAGCTCAGAATATGCTCTAAAATTTTCTGGCCTCTTTTTCATAACCTCTGATCTATTCCTTTATTAGCCTGCATCTTTTTTTTTTTTTTGCCAGTTCTTGGGCTTGAACACAGGGCCTGGGCACTGTCTCTAAGCAACTTTTACTCAAGGCTAGCATTCAACCACTTGAGCCACAGCACTACTTCTGGCCTTTTCTGTTTATATATTAATAAGGAATAGAACCCAGGGCTTCATGCATGACTAGGCAAGCACTCTACCACTAAGCCACATTCCCAGACTTAGCCTTCAGCTCTATAAGTGAAAGAGTTCAAATTATTCTAAATTCTTAAGTCAGATACTGTCACAAGTTATGAATTTCTCTTGTCTTACACTAGAAAACTTTCATTATTATAGCTGTGACTGAAGATACAACATTCAGGATTATAAACATTTGGGCTAAAGGGCACTAATAGGTTAAATGTAATTGTCTACTTTTACAAATGAGGAAATTAAGGACTAGTGATAAAGTAACTTTATTTTAGTAAAAGGACTAAAACCATGAGCTAGATCTAACAGTATTCTTCAAACTGCAGACCAAGGCCAATCAACTTAAGATATTTGCCACTAGTGTTTTACAATGGCAACAGAGTAGGAAATAATGTAGGGGTCTCAAGCTTTTTTCAAGTTAATGTCTGATATATATGTATGTGTGTGTGCGTATCAGACTATATACATGACATCTATCTACCTATCTAACAGACTATAATGATACACTGTAATGGTCAAAAAGTTGAAGTCATTGCAATAAGGTCTCTAATTCCTTGAAATTAAAATTTTATTTTTAACACTCATTAAATTACAATGACGTATTTGTATAGCGCATCAAGCTAATAAAAACATTGCATCAAATACTAAATGCTACAATTTTTTTTTTTGGTTGGTCATGGGGCTTGAACTCTGGGCCTGAGTGCTGTCCCTCAGCTCTTCAGCTCAAGGCTAGCGCTCTACCACTTGAGCCACAGCACCACTTCCAGTTTTCTGGTGGTTTATTGGAGATAAAGTTTCATGGACTTTCCTGCTCAGGCTGGCTTTGAACCTCGATCCTCAAATCTCGGCCTCCTGCGTAGCTAGGATTACAGGCGTGAGCCACCGGTGCCCTAAATTCTACAATTTTTTAAAAGCATTTTTTTGTTTAAAAGACTGATTCTAAGTCTGTAGTAATGGGATTATTTGAAGGGATTAGGGTAGAGGAAAGGGAGAAGGTAGAGGAAAAGGAAATGGTAAAGGGTAAATTGATACCAAAATACATTGTATCTGTGTGTTAAGAAAGCATTATGAAACTCATAGAAATCAAGGAGAGAAGGGGGGGTGGAAGGATGAGGGAAGAAGGCATAATAGAAGAGATTAATGTGATTAAAGTACATTATATACAAGTGTGAGACATCATGGTGAAACCCTTTTGGAGAATGAATGCAAAAAAAGTGCTGTGCAGAAGAGGGTACCAGTGGGAGGGTGAAGATAGGAAGAGTGAATATGGTTGAAGTAATTTACATTTATGTATGAAAACAGAACAACGAAACCTGTTGAAATTATTTTTAGAAGCCAGTGCTAGTGGCTCACACCTGTAATCCTAGCTACTCAGGAGGCTGAGGTCTGAGGATCATGGTTAAAAGCCACCCCAGGCAGAAAAGTCTGTGGGACCCTTGTCTCCAATAACCTACTCAGAAAAAACTGGCAGTGGTGCTGTGGCACAAATGGTAGAGCCCTAGCCTTGAGCAAAAGAAGCTCAGGGACAGGCCCAGAGTTAAAGCCTCAGGAAAGGCAAAAAATGATATTGATTTTAGCAATGGGGGGGGGAAGAGAAGAGTGATGACATAAGTCTAATCAAGATATATGGTTCATAATGAAACCCACTTGTACAATATGCTAATAGTGTTTCAAAAAACCCAAACCCAAAAAAACCCAAAAACCCTAACTCTAAATGATGTAACTATACTACGTGTGAGTAGAGTTCTCAATGTATCATATTTCGTTTAAGCTTATAATTAGGAAAGCCTTTTTTGTTTTTTGGTCAGTCATGGGGTTTAAACTCCGCCCCTCAGCTTTTCAGCTCAAGATGAGTACTCTACTACTTGAGCCACAGCGCCACTTCAGGTTTTCTGGTGGTTAACTAGAGATAAGAGTTTCATGGAGTTTCCTGCCGAGGCTGGCTTTGGACAGTGATCCTGAGATCTAGCTTCCTAAGTAGCTAGGACTACAGGAGTGAGCCACTGGCACCCAGCAACCAGAAAAGCTTTCAAAAATACTAAATACTAGAAATTTTCAGCATACATTACAAAAAAAAAAGAAAACCAATCTCTGTAATAACAGTGACCTCTAGTGGCTTTATTAAGTAACACTGGTATAATCCCTAATCCTAAAAATTTAGAAATGAAGGTAACACTTGCATCTAAATACCAATGATTGCAAAAATAATAGATGCTGAACATAATCAAGGCCTATAGTCATACTACATACAACAGAACAAATGTTTAATTACTGTTTTCTTCTAATCATGTATATGATGAATCAAAATCTATCACACTTAGAATCTGAGTTTGTTAAATAAATCTGAGTTTGTTAGTTGGATTGAATATAAGGACCCTTTAGGCTTTTGCATTGTGATTCTTTCTTCTTTAATCCATCTTGCATACCAACACCAGATGAAGTTCTATTCCAAAACATCTGATGAGCCAGGTGCTGGTGGCTCACGCCTGTAATCCTAGCTACTCAGAAGGCTGAGATCTGAGGATGGTGGTTCAAAGCCAGCCCAGGCAGGAAAGTCTATGAGATTCATCTCCAATTAACTACCAGAAAACCAGAAGTGGTGCTGTGGCTCAAGTGGTAGACTGCTTGTCTTGAGCTGAAGAGCTCAGACTCAGGTTCAGAGTTCAAGCGCCATGACCAAAAACAACAAAAAAAACCCCACATCTGATTGTCCCCAGACGTACCAAACTTAGCCTAGTCTCTCGTTACCTATTTCTCATGCTCCTGCAGATAGCAGGATACTCTTGAGACTCCTCATAGATGCTTGAAACCATGGACAGTATCAAACCCCAAAAATATTATGTTCTTTCCTATGCAGTATTAAGTGATTAGCAGGTGTGCAGTATACTGTGTGGATATTTGGGGAAAAGGAATGGCTCCTGAGCAGGAGAAAGGAGCAAGATGTTATCAAATTTAATTTTCAGCCACTATCAGGACTTGAACTAAGGGGTTTCTCATTTGGCTTGCTTGCTCAAGGCTGGCACTGTACTTTTTTTTTTCTTTTTTTTTTCCGGGGCTGAGGACTGGGGCCTTGCGCGCACCAGGCGGGTGCCCTTCCACTGGGCTAAACCCCCAGCCCCTGGCACTGTACTTCTTAAGCCACATTTTCAGCCAAGCATTTTGCTAATTGGAGATGGAATCTCACAGGCTTTTGTGTCTGGGTTGGCCTGAGCATCCTCTATCAGCCTTCTGAGTAGCTAGGATTACAGGTATGAACTACAGATGCTTGGCATGGTAAGAGTTTTAATCATGCTATTCAAAATGATGTAATTTAATTCAACTTTTTGTCTTTTTTTTGTTGTGGGACTTGAACTCGGGGCCTGGGCACTGTCCTTCAGCTCTTCAGCTCAAGGTGAGCTCTCTACCACTTGAGTCACAGCACCACTTCAAAATAATGTAATTTAAAACTTATGAATTATCTCTATAATATTCCATTTAATATTTTCAAACTACAGTTGATGTAAGCAAGACATATATGATAGAAGAATATCTACTCCCGTGAATTTTTTCCCCTTTTATTCATGGTTTCTCACTAAGCAATATCTAAGCTTGCTAATATACATTATACATCTCCATTAAAGTTAGAAAAATATTATTCTGCCATCTATCTCAATAATTATTTTTTCTGGGGGGCAGTGTCAGGGCTTGAATTCAGAGCATGGGCTCTGTCCTTGAGTGCTAAAGACTAGTGCTCTATCACTTGAGACACAGCTCCAGCTCCACTTCCAGCTTTGAAAAAAAAAAAAAAGTTGCATGGATTTTCCTACGTGGGCTGGCTTAGAATCCTGATTTTCAAACCTCAGCTTCCTAAGTAGCTAAGATTATAGGCACGAGCCACCAGCACTCTGCTCTATCTCAATCATTATTAAACTCACAAGTTGGTACATATATGTGTGCGTATGCTCTACCAGGTACTAAAGACAAACTGCATACTTTGAATATAATTTGTTTAGATTAAGGGAAACAAATGACTATTTTCATCTTTTTTTAAGAAAATAAAGGCTATATATCTATATGACAATTTCAAGAACCATAAATACTAAGTGGCAAGACTTTAAATTCTGAGATGGACATTCTGATGATAGGTTAATAAGGTTTTAGGCAAAGATTCAGAAAAATCTCATCTTTTTTTTTTTGTTGTTGTTGCCAGTCATGGGGCTTGAACTCTTGAACTCAGGGCCTGGGCACTCTGTCCCTGAGCTTCTTTTGCTCAAGGCTAGCACTCTACCACTTGAGCCACAGTACCACTTCTGGCTTTTCCTGTTTATGTGGTACTGAGGAATCGAACCCAGGGCTTCATGCATACTAGGCAAGCACTCTACCACTAAGCCACATTCCCAGCCCAGAAAAATCTATTCTAAATGAGCTAAACGAAGTACTCAAACCTGAAGAAAATAGAGATAGCAAAAAAAATGGCTTGATAAATGATTTTAAAGTGGATACAAGATGGTATAAGTAGAGAAAGCATCTTTGGAAAGAGTTAAAAATAAGTTAGTATTAGAGATTGATCTATTCTCAGTCTACCAAAAAGCAGAAAAAAGGAAAACAAACAAATGTGTATGATTTAAATTACCTCTCTTCTTCTCGAACCCATACTGGAGTGTTAGAAATCTGTGCTTCAAAAATCTTAGATGCTTTGTAACAAAAATTGCTGCAAAAAGACTGAAAAGAACATTGTAAAATTAGTCATTTTCTTATTGTGAAATATAACCTACATAAAGATAGTATAAAATATGTAGCTCAAAGGAAAAACAAGCCCACAAATCTTATACTCCCAGGTTCAGGTACTTTTTATTTTTTGGTTGGTCATGGGGCTTGAACCGTGGGCCTGAGCGCTGTCCCTAAGTTCTTCAGCTCAAGGCGAGCGCTCTACCACTTGAGCCACAGCGCCACTTCCAATTTTCTGGTGGTTAATTGGAGTCTCTCACTGTCTTTCTTGCCTGGGCTGGCTTTGAATTGCAATCCTCCAGCCTCCTGAGTAGCTAGGATTACATGCGTGAGCCACCAGTCCCCAGCTCAGGTACTTTTGAAATGCCCTTCACACTGTACTTCTCTACAATCCCCAGAAGGAAACACTGTAACAATATCATTTTAATTACCTCCCTTTCTTTTTACTACTGGAGCTTGAACTTATGGCCCACTTTTGTGTTGTTTATAGCCTTGCTTTGAATTTTTCTTTTTGGTAGTCAAGGGGCTTGAACTCAGCCTGGGCACTGTCCCTGAGCTTTTCTGCTCAAGGCTGGCACTCTACCACTTTCAGCCACAGCTCCACTTTCAGTTTTCTGGTGGTTAAACAGAGATAAGAGTCTCATGGACTTTACTGACTGGGCTAGCTTTGAACCATGATCCTCAGATTTCAGCCACCTGAGTAGCTAGGATTACAGGCTCTTGCCTATAATATATCAGCCCTGCTGATTTTCTTTATTGTACACACACATACAAATATGTATGTCCCTATAAAGCATACTACTGAGTTTTGCCTATTTTAAAACTTACCTAAAAGGGATCATATTGTTATGTACTATTCTCTTTCAGTCATGTTTTTAAGATTCATTTACATAATTTTATGTTATACTTTACTGTGTCTTATTACAGTCCATGTTTTAAGTATAATCTCTATATGGACAATTCAATTATTTCTAATTTTACGCTGTTACTTTGTTAAAATCTTAACTTTTTTTAAATTTTGGAAACAATGTCTATGTAACCCACACTGGCCTTGAACACTCACCTTGGTGCTCAATCTCCTATAGCTCATCTTATCCCCCATTCAGAATGTAGTTAAGGGACATTATGTTCACACATAACCAGTATCCATCTATGGAAGTCTGCTCATCTTGCCAGGTGCTGGTGGCTCACGCTTGTAATCCTAGCTACTGAGAAGGATGAGATCTGAGTATGACAGTTCAAAGCCAGCCCTGGGAACAAAATCTTTTTTTTTT